GTATAGACTGTTGTTCAAATGAACAAAAGCAATTTATCCTCAAATGGATTATCATATCATTATGTGTTAAAAAGTTTTCAACGGTTTATAAATTAACCCAGTTTGCGTCCCTAATAAGAAATATTGAAATATAAGATTATAATTCCAGATAAACTCAACAATATATATAATTCTATAACCAGCTTAATTAACAATATATAGAAGCATCAAAGTAACAAACTTAAGGTACCATATATTTAAAGTGAGACATCTTTCTCAAAAAAGTTGCAGAGATTTAGGACATCTAGCTTTTTACTCTACATGTCAGCGAGATGGAAAAATGTCGTTCAAGTTGAGCTAAAGTTAAATATTAAGAAAAAATTGAGCTAAATATTAAGAAAAAAGCAAAATATGAATACTACCTTTGTAAACTATCCACAATTTTGTCAGTTTAATATTCTAATTAAATTTATTTTGTCGCATCTTAACCTGACTACAGTTGGTGTTGGTTATCCTTATTTTTTCTTCTGTCATTCCCTAATGATTTGGTTTCATAAAAGCTGCTAAGCATTGCTTATGCAAACACAGTCCTAATAATCTACCTAATTACTGTGGAGCGGTACCATGGTGTGCTCCTAAACGTTCTTTACACAAAAGCTATCATTATAATCTACTTTACTATTAACGGTTACTATGTGGTGTCATATTACCATAGCTATAAAATTATTGGATATAGTTTAATTCCTCCTGTATGTAAATACTTATCTGTATACTGTTCCATATTATTTTAATATTTGTTTATATTTCCTTTTCATCTTCCGTAATTCAAATTTTAAGTAATATTTCATTTCTTCTTACAGATTTGCTTATCGAGATGCTTGGTGTCTTGGCCAGCTACAGCATAACAGTTAAAGAACTAAAATTACTCTTCGGCACAATGAAGGCGTTTAATGGCAAATGGCCACGTCACTCCGCCAAACTACTGAATGTACTCCGTCAAATGCCACATAGAAATGGGCCAGATGTGTTCTTTAGTTTTCCAGGACGCAAAGGATCGGTATGTACTTGTACAATTCTACTGGTAGTGTAATATGACTTCTATTTACATGTGCACGAGTATTTTTACAACTTTGTGCCATAATTTTGCTTTTTATTACCGTTGCAACAACAAAATTACAACAACTTGACTGCCTTTTTCTCTCATGAATATATGAGGTACATAATGATTGCGTTAGGCAAAAATTGAGTTTGCTTTTTGTACGTTTTATATATTCTAAGTCGTATATATATATATATATTTGTATGTTGATGTGATACATTTGAGTGCTGCAGTATTCATGTACTTATATTTACCTTAAAATATTTTACAACATCAACGTGGAGCGTCAATTTTATGTTTCTCGGTTTTATTATCGTACAGAGAATTGCCTTGTTGCATTATTAATACAAAACAACTTACAAGATGGAAAGGTTAGGGAAGTATGTGCCACAATTCTACTACAATACACACATATGGCATATGCCGTTGTGGGGCCTTTATTTGTGTCCATTCAGTAAATTTCTTCTTTTATTATATTGAGCATTATTTTCGCGAGAAAATCGAATTTCAGGCGTAATGTGCTCCATAAAAATGTAATAAAACATGAAATGCAATAAGTAAACATACATAAAAATTAAAGTATATATATGCCACAATTCAAGAGTTGGAAAACTTAATAAGAGTTTAAAAAAAATTCGCCCTCAGTACACTTTTTCTTTCTTCATTTTGCATAACACCTCAGCGTAATATTTTGGACATACATAGTTTATAAAATCATTCTATAAAACCGACTTCTATAAAGCACTTGAATATACACACAAATTGTTATTATCACGGGTGTACATTTTGCTCAAAGGGTAGTAAGTTCAACATTAATGGAAAAATTCTCTAAAACTTCTAAATTTTTATCTCGCACTCACCTTCGGAAATCCTCTAGAGCAGTCTCAACTATTCTCGTAAAAATTTAAGTGAAACACTGGTAACAGACTTGCCAATAATTTGTGCAAAATTTAACTTTACACCATTCACTTCACACTACACACTCGTTTTTGCAGAAATATTTTTACTAAAATGTGTAAAATTTTGACTACAACCTCAGGGGTGAGAGTATTGTTGCGCGAATTTCAAAGTATATTGGAATATCCTTTTCTCCATTTAAATGCAACTAAAAATAATTTTCCTACACGGTCTTTTTTTTCCAATTTTTTTCAAATATTTTTTTTTAGTTCAACATAAATATTTAAAATTAAAATACAAAATCATCAAAAGTTAAATCACTTTTCTTAAAACTTTCGCTATTTTGTGGTTGGCAACTCTTTTGCAAAAACACTAGGGGGAATGTAAAAATGTGAAACATGTTCCCTAAAAGCAAAAAGGAGGAGACTGGTTTGTATTCATATTTTTGCAACTTTCTAAATTGAAATATTTTTCATTTAAATGCGGCAAAAAATCACAATCATGACTATTATGGTATTTTACTAGACAAGCTAAACTCCTGAGATCTAAACGGCGCTATAAATCAATTTTTCTCATTTCCTTTCAATTTGCAGTTACCAATACAAGTTAAGACACCGTCTCGAGCATCGAGCATTGAGCATCGAGCAACAAATTCGTATAAAAACATAATTGATTTACGACTTTATTAGAAACAATGCCCATTTGTACGCTATGGTCTGGTAACTGCTGTGCCTATGCCATATGTTGCATATTTTAAGGCGTTTACTTGTTTTTCATTTTCGTTTTGCTTGGTGCGTTTTTTCTTCATTGCTGTGCCCATAAGCAACCCATTTACTAGACTGAAGTTGAGAATACAACTTGTTATATAAATTTCGACAAATCGGAAATAACTTTAATACAAATTCAAAAGTTGGAGATTCTTATTCTTCAATGTGGCTTCTGCAAAGAAAGGCAAGCATTCCTTTTTGGTTAAACTTTTACTATAAATTATGTGTTGTGGTGCGATGTTCTGATTGTTGGTAGAAATGAGCTAATAATTGCTATGGAAAATATTCTTTGTGGTCAGAAAATGGTTAACATTTTAGTAAAATTTCTTGAAGTTTGTAAAAGTTTTTAAGATACTAACCAGCTTAATAAAGATAGTTTGAGTTTATGAAGAAATACTTCAATATTGAAGGAATGAGATGAAAGAATTCGGAAAATGGAATGGAAAAATCCAACAGAAGTTTGTTAACGTAATTATTCTTAAAATTTAATTTAGTGAATTATAACTTAATCATTTAATGTTAAGTGCTAAATACTTAAATAAAACTTTATTCAAAAATTAATGAAAATTTTATCAACCTTAGAGTGGTTTCTTTTCTAAAGAATTATTATGATACGTGAATTCCTGATTCAAAATTTTTCTGTTCCGATAATATAATTATCGCTAAAAAAAATAATAAATATTGATAGTTCTTCGAGATAAGAATGTAGAATCAATGAAGACTCTTGCAAAAGTAGTAGCCCTGCTCCTTACTAAGCCTAGATATTTATATAATAGACTAAAGCTTGATAAAACCTTAACATTTGGCAGAGGCCACTAAGTTTTTGTGCATCACTGACTATTAAGCAATCAGAAGGGAAATTATGTTGCTGACTTCAGTCCTATTTCTCTAGATCTAC